ATTTTAAAATAAATAAAATATAAATGATTAGCATACTCTTTGGCATGAAGTAGGTCAGTGGAGACGGGCAACTATGATCATTTCAAAGTATGTTCACACACAAATTTGGATGGGAGAAGGGAAGTAACTTTCAACCCTGTTTCCAGTTATGTGAGGTGGCTTTGATTGAAGCATTTTGTATTTCCCAACATTTTAAGACGTGTGTGGGTGTGTGTACATGCGTATTTGTTTGGCAAGGGTGTTGTTTGGCTCCCCTGACCCCCTTTGCTATCAGTGTCATATTCACTATGTTCTCAGAAGGGTGATTGTTATTAATCAGGCATGCAGTATGAGAGAAACAGGGGTGATGAGCTGGTCAATCTGCCAAACAAGTTCATGTTTTGCAGGAAACGCCAAATTATTTCCTGAAGGGATGTTTTTCAGGATTGGAAGGATATGCTTCACTGGCCCTCAAAGACCCTGTCATGTCCCATGAGTGCTGTCACCTCGCAGGGCAATATGCTTTCTCTACAAAAGCCACTTTATGGAGTTGCTGCCCAGCTTTTTAAAAATGTATTTGTATTGTTTATTTCTTCTTCTATTTGTAACTCACATCTAGTAGAAAATGGATTACAGATCTCTCCACATTTCCTCAAAAAGTGTCCCAATAACATGAGTTCCTTCATCAGCAGGAGGAAGCCAGTGAAAGGCTGGGAGTGGTAGAGAAAGAAGGAATGTCTAAAAATTAGGATTATACAGAATTTTGAGGGGCTTCCTCCCCCAAAGCTTCTAATTTATTTATAAACCAATGCATGCTTTAATATGACAAACTAAAAATACAAGTATCTTTAAAATGTGTCTTTGGATCTCTGGTTCATCTGTCAACCACATTTATTCATAAATTCTCCTTACAGACTTGGAAAAGATTTAAGGTACAAGGAAGAAAGCCTTGGCATGCTCAGCTGCCTGGAGATTTTGCAGGGAGTATGAGTTTTCCTAAAACTCTGCTGAAAGAAAAAATTACAAATTTTATTTCAAATAGTGATTTTTAGAGGCACTTACAATCATTAATGCTCAGAAGTAGTCTTCTGAAGAATTTTTAAATCTTCCCTCTACTATGACAAATATTTACATTTTTATATCTATGCTAAAGGACAGAAAATATCAACTTTACTAAGGGTAAGAATCTGAATCCTCTAATTGTCCCAGGTGATGCTTCCCTGGTGACTTGGAAGGCCTGGACACAGTGGTCTGAAACTCTGGGGGCACAGTGAAATACGAGTACCTCTTCTATCACATCCCAGAAAATCATGGTTATAGGATATGTCAGAGAGCTATTGCTGTATGCAAGCAATCCCTAAATGCCATATGTTGTGGCTTGTATCTAAATGCCCCCCCAAAGCCTCCTGTGGTCATGTGTGAGGAGTTTCAAATGCCTTCTTTGGTATTGATGACAGCTATAATAAATTTGATGCTCAATGTTCCTCTTAGTTTTCCTTATTTGGCTTCTATATCACTCCCTAGTCAACTTTTTGATTATCATTTAGCTTCCTGTTCCTGGGGGCACAGTGTTTTGGCTACAAAATGCTAATGTCTAGGCACCACCACGATTCTATTTCTCATTCTGCATCAATACACAGGCACCTTATTGTCTATCTCTAGTGAGCCTGACAGAGCCTTCTTCACAAGAGATATTTGCTTAGTATGCTGAAGTGGGAAAAATGCAAGTTTCTCGGCTTGGAAAGCTGAAAATCAGTTCTCTTACTATGATAAGGTCTATCTTGGTAAGGCAGTGGGTAGCAAGTCACCTAACTCTCTTAGGAAAATCTCCATCACAGTGCAATTTTTTCACCCAAATTTTTTTATTTCCTGCACATAACCCCACCATTTCATCTTTAATAGTAGAAGGGAAGGTAGGACAAGCCACATAATCTTACAGTTGGGCAGCTGTCCATGGATAGTGTTTCGGTCAGGGAAGCAGGACCACCAGAATAATAGTAATATAGGAATGTTATCTTTCAGAGTTGTGGGAGAAACTAATGATGCAGAGATCTGAAAGTGGAATTCAAGGACCTAAGTCACTAGACAACCCTCCTGATGCTTTGGTACAGGTGTATTTGTGAGGTCAGAATTTAACAGTGAATCTAGAAAGCCAAGCACAGCTAACTGCTGTAGCAGTATCCAAATGGAAACTGTGGAAATATCTATGGATAGCTGTCACCTCTAACTAGGGCTTCCACCAAACTCTAGAGGTCTTTGGCCAAGTGGAGCAAGCCTGGGTCCTCTGGTGGTCAGCAGGTCCAGCATTTGGTAAGAAGAGCAAGGCTGGGTCAAGGACCTTGAATACCACTGGATCTTCTAAAACTTATTCAGGGACATCCTTTACTGTTCATGGGAACCTGAGAGGGCCTAATAAAAATGATATGCTGACCACTCTATGCTTGATTTTAGGTGAAGATGTCAATGCTTATATCCCATGGCCATCTGAGAGGAAACAAAGATCTGCGTATCTATAAAGACTTTTTTTTTTTAATCCACTTGGGACAAACAAAATTTCTATGACCTTAATACCTTCTTTGATAAATTTTTATATTCTGTTTTTTCCATACAATGCCTAGAGCAGGAGGCAAAATTTTCTATATGCTTTATTTAATCTATCTGTCAGCCTTATGACAATGCTAATTGGAGTAAGTAAAGCCAGCTTACTACTAGAAAAAAAATCCCCACATCCTAGTGGTTTAACACAGTAAGATTCCTTTTCCTTAATTTACAACCTAGTCAAAGTTGGTGAGCAGCGGGAAGAGATTTATTCCATGAAGTCAGTCCAGAACAAAGACTTCTCCTATCACACTGATAGGTTTAGCAGTGGCCAGCATGGTTCAGCAATGTTCCAAGGTTGTCAAGAAATGGGAAGACGAAAAGAGTGAATGAAGTCCCCGTGCTATAGATCCACAAGTGAAAATCTATTCCTGCTCAAATTCTGCTGGTCATATGGCCTTACCTGGATACTAACTGAATGGGGAAAGCAGTTCAGCTTAGCGCCCAGGAAGAGAACTTAATGTCTGGTGTGCCTCTGTGACACTGTTGAAATGCTGTTTTCTCTTCAAAGCAAGTATCTGAAATGGCACCTGTTATACTAAAAGCTCTCAAAATTGTTTGCTGAAGAAGTGAATGAACAAATGAATGGTATGTATAGTATTCTACTGTTATGATTTTCTAACGTGTAAAATGGGAAGTAAAGAACTTGGAAGGAAGCAGAAATCTTCCTGCTACTCCCATTGTATTCATATGCCCATTTATATTTTGAAATTATTCCACAAGCACAAGCACTCTAGGAATTCATGTTCTGTTGAAGACTGTTTTTATTCATTCAACAAATATTTGAGTGCGCACACACACACACCACATAGCATAGTACTTGACACATAGAGGGCTCTCAAAGCCTTGCAGTTCAAAGTCCAGATTCACATCTGCACTTGGGCAGCCACTAACTTGGTTTGATCTTTTTCTTTTTTAACTGTAAAATGAGGATAATACCAGGTACATTAAAATTGCCAGGTTTAAATGAGATGATTCATGAAAAATTTGTGTAAATAAGCAGTACAGAACTTTGCAAACATTGGTGGTAAATTACTGAAGGTGAATGTAGTAGGACTTCCAAGCAGTGTCCATCTAAATATGTTCAAGTAATAATATTCAAAACGGTAACAGGCATTTCTCAAAAAGAGAATTCTGTGGTCAAATTTGGGAAATAGTGGATGAGGCAAAGTAAAACATGGCTCTTGGGCCTGAATGATGCTAATGTGCATTGTAAACCTTAAGGAAAGCAAGTAAGTATAATATGTCCTTTTGCCTGAATTAATGTGATTTTGAGACCTACTCCTACCCTTACCTCAACATCCTCTAGGGCCTTGAGATGATCAGGACTCACTTATTAATCCTCTCAAAAACGGAGTCATTCATCATCAGATAATCTAGGAATTCATCAGACAATTGTCCCAGTACTGAGTTGAGAGGTCTGCCGTGGGAGGTATACAAAAACAGAGCCGGCCCATCTGTTCCAGAGTTAGAGAAGATTCCAGCGTGGACAGAAGGGTGTTATTGTGGACACACTCAGTATTCCTGTCCACCGGTGGCAAGATAGTAGCAAACATGAAGCAACAGAAGTAAAGAGAAACAAGCTGACCCTCCAGGACTGATCGACCTTTAATAAAAACTCTAAAAGTGATAACATAAGACAACTCCGCTTCTAAAAAACTTGTGAGATTCTCTACTACAAGAAAGGCTTCTTGATCGCCAGGTCGGACAAGTTCATCAAGCCAGCCTTTCCCTCTCTACCCTTTCCAATCTAGGACCTAGTTCAAAAGTACCAAGGAGCAGAGAAGTCAGGGGAACGGGCAGACCTGGTGAGGGCGGGGCGGACCTGGGAAGGCGGGAAACCTGAGGAGAGCTGGGTTCCTGAGTGGAGCGGGGCGGCCCTGGAAAGTTAGGGGCGAGGCCGGGCGTTCCTGAGGGGAGGGGCGGGCTGGAGGGGCGGGGGCTGCCGGCGGGGG